AATTAACAACTTATTTCTATGTGTGAAGTATTAAATTAATTGTTAATACAACATGTGCATTAACATTGAAATGTATTTCATCTTTTTTTTTTTTTTTTTTGTTGTTGCATCGATGCCGCTGCAGGAACTTCTTGAGCTTTACACCAACAGCGCCGTTATAGTTGGCTAATTTTTTCAATCATGCATTATATTTAAATTGTAAAAATTAAAAAAAAAATTGTATACCTAGTTTTAAATTTTTTCAGAGCTAATTTGTATTATAATATAATATTGATCTGTTTAAAATATTATTCAAATGTTAGTTGGTAATTTGCAGAGCCGGCTTGAAGGCAGTTCAAACCGTCCAGTAGCACAGGGCCCCGCGGGTGGCGTTCTGATGGAAAAAAAATTATCGGATATTAATTTAAAGACGGATTAAAAACAGATGGGTTTGGCCACCATAACACTATTCGTCAAAAACGTCTACGTTTTTACCAAGATGTACCAACAGTCAACACACCTTGATTTTTACCCGTCCTTCGTAAACATATAGATAGGTATAGTATAGTATAGTACCTATATAGTATGGGCAGTGTGGCTCGACTAATTTATTCGTACCCGTACTAAAATACTGTTTAAATTGTTAAAAATGTTTAACCTACAATCCTAATCTATCTATATCTATCCATATATATAAAATTACTTTTCTTGAGTGATTCATCATCGCCTAGACTCAACCACTGGATGGATCTTTCTTAAATTTGGCATATAGAGAGCTACTATGACGTAGCTGGCATCCGCTAAGAAATGATTTTTTTTTTTAAATCAATCCCTAAAGGGGAAAATAAGGGGTTGTAAGATTATAATAGTGACCCCATCTATCAAGCAATATCTCAATTAAATATAGAATATTGGTTTTAAAATACAAAACATACGAACATGATATTTGGAATACTTATGGCCAGTTGTACTCAAGTACCGTCTACGGTTAAGCTTCGATTACGCTTAATCAACTGATAACAGATATTTAACCGGGCAAATTCGGCCAATTCAATTTCGGTTAACTTTGTTCGGAGATGGTAAAACTGGCCCTTAGCGGTTCCTCTAATGATCTACATATGCAATAAGAAAGGATTCTCGGATATTCGCTTTTTAAAGAGGTGGATCTAACATGGATCTTAAGATTCATGATGGAAATCACACTTTTTTTTATTTATTAATGGTTTCCTTTGGTTGCAGCCTGCAGGTTATATATGTGAATTATTTCACAAAGCTAGGTACAATTACGCTGGTTAGTCAGTAAAAATAAAATAAAATAACAACCCAAAATATTATTAATATATAAATATTAATTACTCCTAAAAATCCGGGATATCAACTATGACTTAAATACTATATTTTAGGTACACTTTTTACAATTTTGTTCAACTACAAAGCTGTACTTATATAGTATATATATTTTATCTCATACCTCACTGTGTCTGCAATCACATAAATTGCCTACCTGGTAATATACTGTTCGCATAACCATAAGTGAAACTCAAGTGCAATAGGTAACATGATTTTGCTACCATACCTATGCACAGCGAATTACACCCAAACGGAGTTAATTAATCACAATTTTTTCCGGGCAACGCCGGGTTATTCAGCTAGTAATTAATATGTATGTTGCATCCACACAGTCAAATCACTAATTTCACGAAGTAAATACCCTGATAGTGAAATTTGTCCAGATCGTATAGAATTAAATTTCATGAATTAATATAATGTATATTTTGTGTGATTGGTATATAAAACAAACTTTTTTATGTTATTCAGCAATAAAGTATAATATTAGGTAAATCATAATAAACCTTCTTACAAAAACTGTCCGTAATATACTTTTCTATGTTGTTTTTTATGAAGAACAGCATAATAAGTCAATAAATTATATTATATTTAATTTACTTTTAACTATAGGTTACTTTTAAATTGAATATTATACAGTTTATTGACTTATTGTAAAGCATATGTAGGTATATTTTTTTATAAATGAACCATGCCTATTTTCCTGTATAATAAAAATAATATTTGACGATTTAGGAAAGAATTACTAAAAAAAATTTTAAAAATTAAAAAAAATAAATAATTAATATTTAACGAATTAAAAAAATAATAAAAAAAATTATAAATATATTATTACTACAAAAATTATCAAAATTAGTTAAAAAAATAAAAGTTATAATAATCGGGAATAATAATATTTGATGATTTAATACATAATGTATATAAAATATAATATTAGGAGAACGGAGTGGCTGAGTGGACTAAGGCACACCGACGCTGGTTCAATACCTCGGTCATGGGTGGCATTTTTCTTCTGGCAAGTCACGGTGTCCGGAGAGCAAGTGCCGCCATCCCCCACCCGGGCAGATACCTACTTGTGCCTAAATCAAAAATTCTGCCAAAACAAACACACAAGTGTTCCTCCCCCTACCTACAAAAATCTACAAACAAATCAAAAATAGCTAATGGCCTTAGTTGCCGGGCTCAAGCTCAATAAAAAAAAAAAATATTATGTTAACATAATGGATAATGGTGTGTATACAACAGTCATTTTCAACTAAGCCAATAATTAAAATCATTTTCAGTCCTAAGCCTGTAAGTGGGAAGGGAAATGAGCGTATTATAAATACGTATAACCCCTTCAAATGCATGATATATTTGTTCGAATACATTTTTTGAGCCCAACTGCAGTTCGACAAATACCTAAGTGAAATTCAACCAAACCCTTTCGATACAAATGGGTACCCCGTGGCCCGTAGTAGTATAGATGTACCACTCCTATAGCACACCTCTTTCAAACTTCACAATAGTTCATAAAAGAAAACAATCTGAAAAAAGATCACAAAATAAAAGAATTACAAAAGATCATAAAATAAAACAATATGCAAAAATAGTTAACAATTAACTTTAAGCAATTGAAGCAGGTTGATTTATAATTCATTAATATATTTAGGCTAAACTATAATTGCTTAATTTATGAAAAATTTAAATAAAATATTTTTGATGTTATTATGTTATTATTAATTATGTTATATTTTAGTATATTCCTCACTAGATTGATTTTAAATTGAAATACTATACAATTTATTGACTTGTTATAAACCATACGAATATTTTTTATAAATGAACCATACCTATTTTCCTGTAACTATTGTATTACCTTACTATTCATTTTTGCACGAAGATTAATTACAATATCAACTATTAAAAAGCATGTTATTTTTAAAACATGCACACCTACACAAATATTATGTTTGTTGGATCTGTTCTGTAGGTCCCATATAATTAACTTTCGGTACTGTGAATATAACGCATTGAATAATTGAAAATTTCAAAATCGTCTGATTTATTTTTGTTGAAATACATTATTTTTTTTATTTTTTTTATTTTTCATTGATCATTAAGCCCGGCAACTATGGCCATTAGCTGTTTTGTTAGTTTGTAGGGGAGGGAACTGTTGGTTTGTAAACACGTGTGTTTGTGGTGGCAGAATTTTTATTGGGGCACCCGTAGGTTTCTGCGTTGCCCCGGAGAGGGGGGATGGTGGCACCTGTTTTCCGGACACCGTGACTTGCCCGGAAAAAAATGCCGCCCTTTGGTCGAGAATCGAACAGACGACTGCCAGCGCCGCAGCCGACGCGTTAGACCGCTCGGCCACCTCGTCCCCCCTAAATACATTTTAATTAAGATCTAAAAGTACGTTATAGGAACTCGCAGATTAGTTGACGTGTTGTTTGAGATGAACAATTAATGACATCAAAATGATGATTAAGCAGACAATCAATAGTTTGATAAAACAAACATCATACATTTGAAAGCATTAAATTTCCAAAATTTCAAATTATTTTGATCAGTGATAACAAATTTATTTTCAAAAAACGAAATTAAAATTAGCCGATGTAATCATATTATAAACTGTTTTCGTAACCAGATTTATTAACAGTCAACATTAGATAAAATCAAATATTTGACCTCAAAAATTGAATCTTAGTCTTATAATAACTAGTGATTGTCAGTATACAAGTTTTATCGTCGAACACTCATTATTTCGTAAAGATGTTAATTAAGTTCTAAAAGTACGTTATAGGAACTCGCGGGTTAGTTGACGTGTTGGTTGAGTGCAAATTCAATGCAAAACATCTCAGTAATTTGAAAATATGGACTTGAAGTATATTTATCGTTAACAATTCCAAAAAATGCTTGGTGAATAACGCTGTAAGAATTACAAGCAAATAATATTTTTTTAATAATTAACTTTTATATAGACCAAATGCAGGTTTACAACATTCCAATACGGCGGAGTCAGAGTTGCTAAAAAAATAAATAAATAAAGTACAAAGCATATATAACGTGATGGAGTTATAATTTAATATTGATGAAATATTAGATACATTGAATGATTTAAGTGCACCCATTACATAATATAATATTACAAACATTTATCACCTTAACTACATGTTATGTATAATATAATAGATAACAATAACGATACAATAGACAAAATCTTAAAGAATATGGAATATGGAATAACAAAATTATAGTTTAGAGCATTTTGGTATTTTCTTTGTTTTTTTTTTTCATACAGTCGAACAAATTTTCGGGAAACAGTTGACCGTCATAACTATATAAATTTATAATATTACCAATCAAGAGCATAGTTTTAAAAAATAGTCTACGCACCACTGCTTCGTCAAAATAATAAAATTATGCAAGATGCCGGTTGGCTGTGGCCCTAAGCCTATAGTACGAAAATAATATTATGGAAAGTAAAACCGTTAAAACAATATTAAATACTTCAAGGTGGTTATTGGAAGCCTATATTATAAAAATATAATATTATTATAATAATAATATAATGGGGTATTTTTTTTTTAAGAACAATAATCATAATTGAAAATATAATATTAAGTACATAATACCTATTATTTTAATTATATCTAATCTCTCGACGGGCGTACTGGAGGTGTTGACGGAACTTACTTGCACGTTATGTTCCTTTCCTCCTCTGTTGGAAAATAACATGGCTGTAAAGTACCTCCTTCTTCGAGCCATGCTTTGCTGATGCACACGTAACACATACTTTCACACGCGCATGTCTTGTTCGAGTTCGTGCAACCCGTCTTGCATTCATCGAAGGTGTAGTACTGGTCGTCACCAAATTCGATTTCACACCTGAAACATAAGAACGAACCGCTGCGCATTTTCATGCACGGCCTGTGTTTATCTTTGTGGCACGAGTCAGCCAGACAATCAGAGCACTTTTCAAAGAGCATGCCGACCTCAGTCGATTTGATGGGCGAGTTCAAGAAGAAGAAATTCAACATTATCGTGAAAACAAACATGGGCACGGTAGCGTAAGATAAAAACATATTGTAGTTGTTTTTGTTGTTATGTTCCTAACCTATATATTCGTTACGGAATCTGTTATATTGGAATCGGCTCCTTGGTCGATCGTTTTCAGTGACCGCTCTAAATTCTTCGGTGAATGAGTGTATATAATATAATATTTATGTGCGTATATTTTATAAACTACTGAAATGATTAGTATATATTATAGGTGCAGAGTGTACGGTAAACGATATTATAATGATGAATCTAATATTCGTTTGTGCGTTAATATAACTGAATGACTGTCATTTCGATCGGTGTGCATATAGTTGTTATACCCTGCAAACGGCTGCAGGTTACGTGGTAGTAGCGTCGTGTAATTGGTGGAGTCTAAATGTTGTTGTACAGTCCCGTATCGAAATAAATTGCGATATAATGGTTGGGTATGATCAAATATTTAGTTACACGACAAATCTGCTTGTCAGAATTCTGTTATAGTTTCTGGGTTTAGTAATATTTATGGCTGCTATCTTCGTACATTTATACAGCATGACGGGCGACAAGTACCACATTTATACCACATTTGAATACGACACATATTTTGTACAAAATATTAATTATAATAATTTAACAGTACTTTAATTCTTAGTAAAATAATGTCAAGGCATATATAATTAGCTGCCGCATAAAACATTCAAATAATATGACGGTGCTCAAAACTAAAAAATAAATATAAACTAATAATGCACAAAGTATATTAAGTGATAGAATAATAGTTTAATATTGATGAAATACTGCATAGAATGATTTAAGTGCACAGATCTCATAATATAATATTACAAGCAATTATCATCTGAACTATATATAGCTTCGTTGCTCGTTAAATGTGCAAACTCTATATGACTCAAACTTTGTTCAATTCATTATTTAATATTCAGTGTATGGTGTTCAAATTATATCTTAACTTTTCCGATGCCCGGAAAAAAAATTTTGATTTGCAGCAGTATAGGTAGGAAATTTACCCTAACCGAACCTAACCATACTCTAATATCAGAAGAATAAAAAAAATGATATTAAATTTTAATGTATAGCCATCTCGACCGGGGTTATCCCGTGAGACTCATAGCCGTATATTACCAGGTATTCACTCTACATTAAAACTCTACGGTAAAGATTTTAATTAAGTTCTAAAAGTACGTTATAGGAACTTGCAGGTTAGTTGACGTTTTGGCTGAGTACAAATTCAATGCAAAACATCTCACGAATTTGAAAATATGGTCTTGAAGTATATTTATCGTTAACAATTTCAAAAAATGCTTGGTGAATAACGCTGTAAGAATTACAAGCAAATAATGTATTTTTAATAATTAACTCTTATATAGACCAAATGCAGGTTTACAACATTCAAATACGGTGGGGTCAGAGTTTCTAAAAAAATAAATTAACAAAGTACAAAGCATATATTACGTGATGGAGTTATAATTTAATATTGATGAAATAATAGATACATTGAATGATTTAGGTGCACCCATTACATAATATAATATTACAAACATTTATCACCTTAACTACATGTTATGTATAATATAATAGGTAACAATAACGATACAATAGATAAAATCTTAAAGAATATGGAATAACAAAATTATAGTTTAGAGCATTTTGGTATTTTCTTTGTTTTTTTTTTCATACAGTCGAACAAATTTTCGGGAAACAGTTGACCGTCATAACTATATAAATTTATAATATTACCAATCAAGAGCATAGTTTTAAAAATAGTCTACGCACCACTGCTTCGGCAAAATAATAAAATTATGCAACACGCCGGTTGGCTGTGGCCCTAAGCCTATTGTACGAAAATAATATTATGGGAAGTAAAACCGTTAAAACAATATTAAATACTTAAAGGTGGTGATTGGTATTACAATGTATTATAATTATAATATAATGGGAAATTATTTTTTTAAGAACAATAATCATAATTGAAAATAATATATTATGTATCATAATACCTATTATTTTAATTATATCTATTCTCTCGACGAGCGTGCTGGTGGTGTTATACGGAACTTATTTGCACGTTATTTCCGGCGTGGTTGGCAAATTACATGGCTCTAAATAACCTCCATTTTCAAGTACTGATTTTCTGACGCACACGACACACATACCGTCACACGCGCATGTCCTGTTTGTGTTCGTGCAACCCGTCTTACATTCTTCGAAGGTGTAGTACTGGTCGTCACCTAAGTCGATTTCACACGTGTAACATAAGAACCAACCGGTGCTCATGGTCATGCACGGCCTGTGTTTATCTTTGTGGCACGAGTCAGCCAGACAATCCGGGCACTTTTCAAAGAGCGTGCCGAACTCCATCGATTTGATGGGCGAGTTCAAGAAGAAGAAACTCAACAGTATCGTGAAAGCAAACATGGGCATGGTAGCGTAAGATAAAAACATATTGTTGTTGTTTTTGTTTTTGTTGTTATTATCCTAACCAAATATTCGGTACGGTATCTGTTAAATTGGAATCGGCTCCTTGGTCGATCGCTTTCAGTGCCCTCTCGAAATTCTTCGGTGAATGAGTGTATATATAATATTTATGTGTGTATATATTATAAACTACTGAATTAATAAGTACTTATTATAGGTGCAGAGTGTACAGTAAACGATATTATAATGGTGAATCTAATATTCGTTTGTGCATTAATATAACTGAATGACTGTCATTTCGATCGGTGTGCATATCGTTGTTATACCCTGCAAACGGCTGCCGGTGAAGTGGTAGTGGCGTCGTGTAATTGGTGGAGTCTAAATTTTGTTGGTAGGATTACGCAATAGGCAGCCGAATGATCACGACAAATTTACTACACTATTTACCTATTCCGTCATACAGACAGTCCCGTATCGAAATAAATTGCGATATAATGGTTGGGTATGATCAAATATTTAATTAAATTACGAATCTGCTTGCCAGATTTCTGTTATAGTTTCTGGTTTTAGTTGTATCTATGGCTGCGATCTTTGTACATTTGTACCACGCTTGAATACGACACATATTTTGTACAAAATATTAATTATAATAATTTAACAGTCCTTTAAGTCTTAGTAAAAGAATGGCAATTCATTTATAATTAGCTGGCATACAACATTCAAATAATATGACGGTGCTCAACGCTTCTAAAAAATAAATTTATAAAGCACGAAGTAAATTACGTGATAGAATAATAGTTTAATATTGATGAAACACTGCATTGAATGATTTAAGTGCACCGATTTCATGATATAATATTACAAGCAATTATCATCTGAACTATATATTACTTCGTTGTTCGTTAAATGTACCAATTCTATATTACTCAAACTTTGTACAAATCATTATTTAATATTCGGTGTATGGTGTTCAAAATGTATCTTAACTTCTGCGATGCACGGAATAAAAAGTCTTATTTGCAGCAGTATACTATCAGGTAGGAAATCTACCCTAACCTAACATAACCGTACTAATATCAGATAAATAAAAAAAAATCAAATTTAAACATTTTTAAATTAGCCTGTCTTCTTCCCAGAGGCCTAATATACATACAATCATTCATTTTTATATATTATTATATCTATATATATATATATATAAAGGTGCTCTGCTGTACCGTAGGTTATAAGTGGATCACTGTGTAATGGATGGTATTAAATTTGAATTCAATGATATAATATCCTTGTATAAGAAAAGCGATTCTGATCGGAGACGGTATGTCAATCTAGGTATAAGGCATATTTTATACTTATCTATGGTATTAAAAAAAATTAACCTACAATAGATAACTATAATATATTCAAAATAAAACATATCACAATATTCATTAGTTACTTATAACGCGTTATACATCAACAACAAACCCTGATACTATCATAGATATATAACAGTGTACTTTAGAAGTTTCAAGTTCCCACGAAAAATATTATACAACCACAACAAAACAACTAAAATAGTTATTCAAGGTTTTTAATATGTAATTTCGTAAAAATTTGAACTTAAAATGACTATAAAAATTTATTTATGTATTCGTAAGTCTTAACAAATCATCATTTACAGCAAAGATTAAACAATAAAATAAAATATAACATAGACATAAAAACATAATTTAATTAAATTTAGTTTAAAGATTAAGGTTTTATAAATATATAATGTAATATAACGATGCGTAACAGTTTACAGGTGTACGTCCAGTTAGCTTATCCTCTTTACTGCTTCCATTGTTATCACGTGGATTGCTTCGATTCCCTGGTTGAATTTTCTTAATTGACATTCCTTTATAATGTGGTTTATGGTTTGTCCATAGTTGCCGCAATCGCATGCTGGGCTGCCTCGGAGTCGCCATTTCAACATCATATCAGCACAACGTCCATGGCCTGTTCGAAGACGATTTAGTACAGACGACTCATGTCTAGGCAGTTTTATACCCATAACTCCTTGATTGGGGTCCAGCACCACGTTTTTATTTTTGATTGGTATAGTAGAGTTAGTCCATCCCTCGCACCAGCACTTTTTAGTTTCAAATCCTGACCTTATTAGGTTTCTATAAAATAATTCTATAAAAAACTGTGGTAATGTAGTTTTTAGATTTTTTGGTAACAGAATTATCTACTAACGTGGAATAATGTTTTACATTTTTAATCCTCAGATATAAAAGTTGAACATTTTATAAATTTTTAACTACAAAATAATTATTCAATTTTAAATTTGATAAATTTAGTCAAAATTCGATCTTTAAATGTTTATAAAAAAAATTTGTGCTTATGTATTTTAACTTTTTTTCAACTGTTGTTGTAACCATAAATCAGGAGAATTGTATTAAATTTTTACACTTTTTGGCCCAATAGATAAAACTTTATTGATATTTATAGAAAAAAAAAACTAAAAAAATTAAAAACCTAAAATGTCCGTAAAGAGCTCAAAAAGAATCAAAATATTTAAATTTTGACCTCCCCAATGCACCAACGATGTTCACTTTCCAATTGAACAAGATACTGAAGTTGAAAATTGAAGCATTATTTCGACTACTTATCGTGACACAAAACTTTAAAATTTAAAATTTAAAAAATAAAAATAAAAAATAAAAAAAACACACACCATTGTAAAATCAATACATTAATCGTTTAACTCAGAATTTAAAATTCGATTGATGAGGTATAACGACATTTTCAAGCTCCATTTTTATAAAGATGTACAATAAGCTGTCATTCGCGTGCTCCACACTGGTGGATAGTTGTTTGCTAATTATGGGCTGTTTTGTGGATCCAAAAATCCTGTCTATTTATCTTAAATGACTTTTTTTATATGAAGAGTAATTGAACTGTAAGCAGAGTAGTGTAAAACAATTAAAAACATATCTTAACTTTTTAGTTACGCGTCAAAAAAATCTGATTGTTCAACTCCTTTTGGGTGTAATATATGATGTTGAAGCAATATCTTTTTAAGTGTAAATGATATTATATTTTAAAGTATAGCCATCTCGACCAGAGTTATCCTGTGAGATTCGCAGCCCTATATTATCATGTAGGCACTCTACATTAAAAATCTACGGTAAAGATTTTAATTAAGTTCTAAAAGTACGTTATATAGGAACTCGCAGGTTAGTTGACTTGTTGGGTGAGTGCAAATTCAATGCAAAACATCTCAAGAATTTGAAAATATGGTCTTGAAGTATATTTATCGTTAACAATTCCAAAAAATGCTGGGTGAATAACACTGTAAAGATTACAAACAAATAATATTTTTTTAATAATTAACTGTTATATAGACCAAATGCAGGTTTACAACATTCCAATACGGCGGAGTCAGAGTTGCTAAAAAAATAAATAAATAAAGTACAAAGGATATATAACGTGATGGAGTTATAATTTAATATTGATGAAATATTAGATACATTGAATGATTTAAGTGCACCCATTACATAATATAATATTACAAACATTTATCACCTTAACTACATGTTATGTATAATATAATAGATAACAATAACGATACAATAGTTAAAGTCTTAAAGAATATGAAATAACAAATAACAAAAATATAGTTTAGAGCATTTTGGTATTTTCATTGTTTTTTTTTCATACAGTCGAACAAATTTTCGGGAAATGGTTGACCGTCATATCTATATAAATTTATAATATTACCAATCAAGAGAATAGTTTTAAAAATAGTCTACGCACCACTGCTTCGGTCAAATAATAAAATTATATGCAAGATGCCGGTTGGCTGTGGCCCTAAGTCTATAGTACGAAAATAATATTATGGAAAGTAAAACCGTTAAAACAATATTAAATACTTCAATTTGGTGATTGTAAGCCTATATTATAACAATATAATATTATTATAATATAATGGGGTACAAATTTTTTAAGAACAATAATCATAGTTGAAAATATAATATTAAGTACATAATACCTATTATTTTAATTATACCTAATCTCTCGACGGGCATGCTGGTGGTGTTGTACGGAACTTACTTGCACGTTATGTTCAATTCCCGCTCGGATGGAAAATAACATGGCTCTAAAGAACCTCCACTTTCGAGCCATGATTTGCTGATGCACACGATACACATACTTTCACACGCGCATGTCTTGTTCTTGTTCGTGCAACCCGCTTTGCATTCTTCGAAGGTGTAGTACTGGTCGTCACCAAATTCGGCTTCACACGTGAAACATAAGTACCGACCGGTGCTCATAGAAATGCACGGCCTCTTTTTATCTTTGTGGCACGTGTCAGCCAGACAATCCTCGCACTTTTCAAAGAGCGTGCCGACCTCCATCGATATGATGGGCGAGTTCAAGAAGAAGAAATTCAACAGTATCGTGAAAGCGAACATGGGCACGGTAGCGTAAGACAGAAACATATTGTTTTTGTTGTTATTATCCTAACCTATATATTCGGTACTGTATCTGTTATATTGGAATCAGCTAATTGGTCGAGCGCTTGCAGTGGCCTCTCGAAATTCTTTGGTGAATGAGTGTATATATAATATTTATGTGGGTATATAATATAAGCTACTGCAGTGATAAGTATGTATTATATTTGCAAAGTGTTCATTAAACGATATATTATAATGATGAATCTAATATTCGATTGTGCGATAATATAACTGAATGACTGGCATTTCGTCAGGTGTGCATATCGTTTTTATACACTGCAAACGGCTGCCGGTTACGTGGTAGTGGCGTAGTGTAATTGGTGGAGTCTAAATGTGGTTGGTAGGATTACGCAATAGGCAGTCCATGGTTCACGAAAAAATTACTACACTATTTAACTTCCGTCATACAGACCGCATCGAACTAAACTGCAATATTATGGTTGTTTATGATCAAATATTTAATTAAATGACAAATCTGCTTGCCAGATTTCTGTTATAGTTTCTGGTTTTAGTAATATTTATGACTGCGATCTTTGTACATTTATACATCACGACAAGTACCACATTTGTACCACGCTTGAATACGACACTTATTTTGTACAAAATATTAATTATAATAATTTAACAGTCCTTTAAGTCTTAGTAAAAGAATTTCAAGGCATATATAATTAGCTGGCATACAACATTCAAATTATATGACGGTGCTCAAAGCTTCTAAAAATAAATTTATAAAGCACAAAGTATATTACGTAATACTGTGATAGAACTATAGTTTAATATTGATAAAATAATACATAGGATGATTTAAGTGGACCGATTACATAATATTATATGACAAGCAATTATCATCTGAACTATATATTACTTCGTTCCTCGTTAAATGTACAAACTCTATATGACTCAAACTTTGTTAAATTCATTATTTAATATTCATATACATATATAATATGTATGGTGTGCAAAATGTATCTTAACTTTTCCGATGCCCGGAATAAAAATTCTGATTTGCAGCAGTATACTATCAGGTAGGCAATCATGCATATCCAATGAAAAAAAAAACCAAATTTAACCACTTTTAAATTAGCCTGTATTCTTCCCAGAGGTCTAATATACACAAAAATATTCATTTATATATATATTATATCTATATATATAAAAATTGAGCCTAAATCTGCCTAATCGGACCAGCCGTTCTCGATTGATGAAGTATAACGACATTTTCACTCTCCATTTTTATATATACTAGCCGTCATTCACTATTGTTGAGCCCTCTGGATAGTTGTTTGCAAATTGTGGGGCTGATTCGTGGCTCCAAAAATCCTGTTTTTTTTATGGATGAAAAGTAATTGAACTGTTAAAACTTATCTTAACTTTTCCGTTCCCCTTTTTTTCTGATTGTTCAACTTCTTTTGGGTGTAATATAATATGATGTTGAAGCAACAGCTTTTTAAGTGTAAATTTTTATTGTATTTTAATGTATAGCCATCTCGATCGGGGTCCCGTGAGATTCGCAGCATTATATTATCGGGTAGGCGGTAGATTGCGGACACCAGTACCTGTGGAAGACATTAACACCAAAATTAGTTGGTGTAGTACGAAAGCGCAAAAATCCTAAACACCTGTATGCCACACTTAATAGATATTACATTTAGAACTGTATATTATATTTTAACAATTTAATATTGACAATCTATGCTATAAAAGTAAGTCCAGATTTTGTGTCATTTCCTCTTTTTATTTTAAGACTTCTTTAAAATTCTTCTTCTACTTCTCGGTTATTAAACTCCATTAAGGCCTATTACCGCAACACAAACTTGCTTCCATCTGTTTCTATCCTGTGCTATTGTAGTTATGGAGACATCTCGTATTCCAATCTCTGCTAAATTCTTCTCCACTTTGTCAATCCACCTTTGTTTCGGCCTGCCAAGTGGTCTTTTCCCCTGGGGTTTCCATTTTAAAACCGCATGACCTCAAAACATACATGACCGGCCCACCTGTTTTGATTTAAGTATACTATTTACTCCGTAATAGCATTTATTTGCTGGAGTTACTCTTATTTTAATTTCATCGTGGTTATTATTTTTGCTATTTATTGTAACACCCAGGTATTTAAAATTATGTACTCTTTCAAATTTATAATCTCTTTAAAATTAACAGCTAAAACTGCAACAATCATAACCAATAGCAACCTTACAATAAACAAAAATATGTTATTATTTAGTTTATTTTTTTCCTGTACAGATTGATCCACTGTTGTATTTTTTACATCCGGATTTCCTACTTTTCCGGTGGATTTTCCTAAAATTTTCTTTCGTAAAAACCTTCTCCTGGCAATTATCTTAAAAAAAACTTGAGCCAAATCGGACCTGCTGTTCTCGATTGATGAGGTATAACGACATTTTCATTATCCATTTATGTATATATAGATGTATAATATAATAACAATAATGATTAATAATACAATAGATGAAATAGACAAAATCGTAAAGAATTTTGAATAACAATAATATAGTTTACACAATTTATGTATTTTTATTGTTTCTTTTGTTTACAAGTGAACAAATTTTTTAGAAACAGGCGCCATTTATGCCTATTTAATATTTATAGTTTTACCGATTGGGAGCGTATTGTTGTGCTCGTACGGGTTGTTCCGTTTGAACGTTGTTATTTCGGTAGTGTGAGGGTTCAATTTTTGGAGAGAGTACAACAAAACAGTTTTAAAGATTTAAATACTAATATAATTTTATTGTGAGTCGAAATTTATAATTCACTGTAATATTTATAATTGACTGTCAGAACGACGTACAGGTTTAAAAGAGCTAAGACGACTGACTCCACGGTTCCCTAGCGGCTGCCGTGTAGCTGCAATATTCCGGGAGTCGCCCACACATTAGGCGTTACCCGCAGATTACAATAATATACTCTTATATTCTAATACAAAGGACTAATACTATATACTAATAGCTAATGCGTTCATAACAGTATATTTTTAAAAATAGTTTGCACACTACTGCCACAGTGCCACAGGGCACAGAATAATAATAATATTATACATAAGGAAGTGCGAAGTAAAGCCGTAAATCAATTAAATACTTCCCGGCGATGATATGAAGCGTATATTTATATACTACATAATATTATTATGTAATGGGTTGTTATTTTTTTTTTAAGATCGAAAATATTAATTGTATATTATATTATCATAATATTATTTTAATTATAATTTCTCGAAGGGCGTGATGGCGGTGCCATATGGAACTTACTCGGACGTTGGTTCCTCCTTCTTTTCTGGTAAGGTGCAGTCCATGAAATTAAATAAGTCGGCGCCCTGTTTTACGATGTTAAACATGTAACACGGAGCGTCACAAATGCACATCTTCGACGGGTCCGTGCAGCCCTTCTTGCATTCATCTTCGGAATAGAACTGTTGGTTGCCATTTTCGCAGTCACACATGTAACATGTGAAATTGTAATCAACGTCGTAGGTACCTAACCAAATGCACGGCGTTTTCCTATCGAGATAGCACGCCGACTTCACACAATCCTCACACAACTCGTAACTCAAGCCGGTTCCGACTGATTCGACAGGCGAGTACAGAATCGCGAAAACCAACATGGCCACGGCGCGGCGGTGTACGACAGTAAAATATTGTTTTTGTTGGTGTTAGTGGCGTGTTGAACTAATTTTTGATGAGGAGCAAAAATGTATACAAGGTACCCACCCGCACACCCACCAACCTTGATGTTTATAACGGCATTTCCAACTCAGCAAAAGAGTTTAAATTAAAAATTTACAATATATACCATATACGTAGGTACATTTGTAACGATTTGTATAATCGGATATGATATTTCTACGATATACCAAGTCACCTATGTGCAGTGTTGGGAATTATCTAGATACAATTATTTCTTAAATTATCTTATCTAGATAAAAATAATTTAACCATCTAATTATCTCATCTAGATAAATGTAATGGTTATCTGTGGTAATTTATCTACATAAATAATATAATAATAAGAATATTTTTAAATACTGAAATAGCCAATAATTCACGAGAACCGAGTAGTGATTCCAAATTTAAATATTATTAGAGTTAAAGAAAGAAATGTTTATTCAAACATTGTCAGTCTTATTTTGTTATTTTAGTTTTATTTAAGTTATATTAAAACTTAAAATTGTATATTCTTTTGGTTAAGAAATGACATTAAGGATTTATTAATTAATAAATATTACCTAATTGGTAATTAGTAATTACTAATAAAATAATAAATTATATTATTTATAACATAATTTAAAAACAAATTATCTATTTTTTTATCGAGATAAATGTATGTGTATTTGTATCTTTATCTAGATAAAAAAAAATTATGTTATATTTTATCTTATCTAGATACATTTTGAATGAATTATCTGTTATCTTATCCATATAATTTTTTGGTTATTTTTTCCCTAGGTGGCTAGGCATTTTGTCGCAGGGGGACCACCTTCCAACCAACAAGACGACAATTAAAATTCTATCTGCCTGTAATAATTATAAAACAAACTTTTTACGTTATTTAGCAATACATTTTATTATATATTTATATCACAATAAACCTTTTTAGTTTTTAATATACTTTTCTTTATTGTTTTATGAATAACAGTCAACAACATAACAAGTCAATAAATTATATTATATTTTAACTAGTTTATTTTTAAATTGAAATATTATACAGTTTATTTACTTGTTATAAACCATACGTATATTTGATATAAATGAAACATAAATATTTTCCTGTACCTATTGTTTTACCTTGGTATTTATTTTTGCTTTAAGATTTATTACGATATCAACTAATAAAAAGCATGTTATTTTTAAAACATGCACACCTACACAAATATTATGTGTGTTGGATCTGTTCTGTAGGTCCCATATAATTAACTTTCGGTACTGCGAATATAACGCATTGAATAATTAATAATTTCAAAATCGTCTGATTTGTTTTTGTTTAAATAGGTACATTTTAATTAAGATCTAAAAGTACATTATAGGAACTCGCAGGTTAACCTTGACTAAAAGTCTTATAAACAAATAAGACCATTTCTTTTATAAATTATCCCATTCAAATTTTCAACTTTCGTAAATCCTTTGATGAGATACCTATAGCTCCGCCGAGTTGGGTGGTTACTGGTTTTAGCAGATATGTGCTCTGGGAGAACATTGTCACTTGTCAGTAGGTAAAACAGATATTTAGATAGTTATGCCCCAGGGTAAAAGATATTACACTTTTCAAATCATTTCTAGTTCAATTCCAAAAAAATGCTTGATGAATCACACTGTAAATATTACAATCAAATAATATTTTTTTAATAATCAACTTTTATTAAAGACCAGATGCAGGATTACAACATTCGATACGGTGGGGTCAGTTTCTATAAAATAAATTAATAAAGCATAAAGTATAATATACGTGATGGAGTAATAGTTTAATATTGATGAAATAATAGATACATTGAATTATTTAGGTTCACCGATTACATAATATAATGTTAAGAACAATTATCACCTTAAATATATGTTATTTATAATAAAATAGGTAATACAAGTTATATAATAAATAAAATAGTAATGAATATGGAATAACAATAATAATATAGTTTAGAGCATTTTTGTATTTCGGTTGTTTTTTTTTCACATAACCTAACACATTTTTGGGAAACGGTTGACAGTCATAATTATATAAATTTATAATATTACCAAACGGGAGCATAGTTTTAAAAATAGTTTACGAACTACAGCTGCGGCAGAAATAAGAAAATTATGCAAGACGACGATTCGCTACAGCCCGTCAGGGGAGACTAATAGGCTATACCTATTGTACAAAAATATAATGGGAAGTAAAACTGCTAAAACGATATCAAATTTTACACGGTGGTGATTTTATGCATAATTGAAATAATATGTATATTAAGTATCATAATATTATTTTAATTATAATCTCACCGCGAGCGTCCTGGTGGTGTCGTACGAAACTTACTTGCATCTTACCCGCACTTATTCATTTCATGAATGGTGGGCCTTCTGCAACTCCCTGGATCATTCCTGGCCCCTTTTGGGGCGCACATGTAACACGCATCGGCACAAACGCACGTCCTCCTCGGGTCTGTGCATTGGCCCTGGCATTCGGTTAGGGTGTAGAACTTTTGGTTGCCATTTTCGGGATTACAAGTGAAACAAAAGTACGCGCCGTTTTTGAAAAGGCACGGCCTATGAAATTTTTTGTGGCAAGTGTCATCCAGACACTTCTGGCACGTATCGTAGAGCCTGCCGTTCATCACGGACTCGACGGGAGAGTACAAGAAGAAGAAATTCAACAGTACCATGAAAGCGAACATGGGCACGGTGGCGTACGACAGAAACATATTGTTGTTATTATCTTAACCTATATAATATACGGTACGATATCTGAATCAATTTCTGAATCTGCTTCCAAGGTGGATCGCTTGCAATGGCAACTATAAATTGTTCGGCGAATGAGTGTATTTATAATATTTATGTGTGTATAATGTATATATTATAAACTACTGCAGCGATAAGTATATATTATAGGTGCAGAGTGTACGGTAAACGATATTATAATGATGATTACAATATTCGTTTGTGCGTTAATATAACTAAATGACTGGCATTTTGATCGGTGTGCATTATTGTTTTTATACCCAGCGAACGGCTGTCAGTTACGTAACCACGTGGTCGTGGTGTCGTGTAATTGGGTTGGTCTAAATGTGGTAGAGTTATCCGGTTATGCAATGATTGTTCACGACAAACTTAAACTTTAGATACTATAGTCTATAGTTTGCTGTTTCAGTATAGGTTAAATTAAATTAACTATATGAAATAAAAAAAAAATATTAATAAATTGGCGCTGAGCTATTTTTTTTTAGGTGTGGCAAATGGCAATAAACAATTACTTACACCCACCTACCACCATTAGATATTATAACTAATTCGTGGAGGCACCACCACCCCAGAAATTTAAATTCGAAATATTTTTTATATTAATAATAATTATTATGCCATTTATTATACATTGTGCAGTCACAATGAAACCATGGGGGAATATAAAAAATTAAACTTAAAATTGTTTGATGTCCAAATGACATTACTAACATAATTACATAAATATCATCGAAGTTGTATATAAAGATAAAGGGAAACTTTTAATATGTAATGTAGTTTGTAAATTGTTACTAGTGCTTAAAATTCAATCGGCTTAAGTTATTAATTTATTTGGGTTAATTTCTAGTAGTTTTTATAAGTACGTTAGTAAATAAATCAAAAAATCATTTAATTCGATAATCTCCTTCTAAAATCTTAATAATAGGGCCCTTAGATTTTCTTCAGTCTCTACACTTTTCAACTGTTATTACATTTTCCTAATTCAATAAATTATGGTTTATTGTAAATAAATATCTGTTAATTTAGTGATTTTTTACCCTAAAGCTATAAGATCTTCGCCATTCATATTATCATCATAACATTTAGTAAAATTTATGTAAATAGTTGGTTTAATGCAATTAATTCATTAAAGCTGATTGATTTTGTAATTTATTAATATATTTAAGCTGAACTATAACTACTTAATTTTTGAACAGTTGAAAAAAAATTAAATAAAAACACTTTAGGGGTTTTTAGATAATTTAGATAATCTAAATGTCTAACCTACAATCCTAATAATTAATATGTATTTGCATCCACATAGTGAAATCGCTGATTTCATAAACTGTAAATACAGTTAGTGTAATTCGTCCAGATCGTATGGACTTCCATTTCATTGCATACTTTTTGTACCTAATTTGTATAAAACAAACTTTTTATGTTATTTAGCAATTAAGTATATTACATCATAATAAACGTTCTCACAAAAACCGTACATAATATACTTTTTGTCACATCTGCACCGAAAGTTTGGTTTTCGATAGCAGTTGAAGCGTTCGAAAGCGTCCTATAACGCTTATAACGATATGTGCGCCAGGCACTTTTGGGGATTTCCACTTTACCACCCGGCACTATTAGGGATTCCCACTTTACCGCCCTCTAGACGGAAAAAGGACGCTTTCGAACTCTGCAACCGCTATCGAAAACCAAACTTTCGGTGCAGTTGTGACAAAAAAAATAGTATGTGTGGCTCTCGCGGGGAGGCCATTTCAGTTTTGTGAGAAATGCGGCCCTCGCCTAAGGCTAGTGCCGCACACGTCGCCCGCGCCTGAAATGGCTCACTTCCCGGCCTTGCCACACAATATATACTATTTCTACTTTTCCCTAATATACCATAAGTATATTTTTTGTAAATGAATCATACCTACTTTCCTGTACCTATTGTTTTACCTTAATTTTTATTTTTGCACGAAGATTTATTATGACATCAACTATTCAATAGCGTGTTATTTATAAAACATGCACTGCACCTGCACAAATATAATATTTGGTGGCTCTGTTCTGTAGCTTAGGTTTTAGGTATTAACTTTCGGTACTTCGAATATAACACATTGTATTCATATTATCTGATATATTTTCGCAGGTTAGTTGACATGTTGGGTGAGATGACCAATTAAAGACATAAAAATAACGCTTAAGCTGATAATCAATAGTTTGATAAAACAAACATCATAAATTTGGTAACATTAAGTTCCTCAAGTTTCAGAATATTTTGACCAGTAATAACAAATCTATTTACAAGAAACGAAATTAAGGTTAACCAATGTAATATCATAAGCTGTTTTCATAACCAGATTTATTAACAGAAAATAGTAGATAAAATCAAATATTTCACGGACTAAGATATACAGGACTGGACACAAGATGAATATTGTGGTTACGAAATGTTGTACCACTGGCGGAGTTCGGAGGGATATTTTCCTTTAAGCATCACTAGCGCTGTCCTAGTGGATATTTATGGAACTAGAACGGTGACCCGTCAAAATATCTCCATTAAAAATATCTCCGTCAAAATTATCTCCAATACAAAATATCTACGACAAAATTATCTCCAATACAAAATATTTCCGACAAAATATTATATTTTAAATTAATTTTAAAATAAAAAATATAAAAAAATCATGTTTTAAAATTGTATGTTTTGAGCAAAAATTAAATCAAATAAACAAATATCAAAATATTATTTTACACATAATCGTAAAAAAAAAAAATAGAAAACAATCATGTTTTAAAATTTTATGTTTTGAGCAATTCCTCTTAAGTAAAGCACAGCTGGAGTTTCATTGAATTTTTGCACTACGTTCAATATCATTTCATCGTGGTTCTTATATAAGAACACTAGAACATATAATAAACTTACTAGAACATATAATACAAATTTCTAGTTCATTAATTATCCACTAAGACAGCACTAGCAATGCTAAAAGGAAAATATCCCCCGAACTCCGCCTGTTGTATAACATTTCGTGGTCAACCCCCCACACCCTCCAACCTTGTCGTGTCCAGTAATGTATATCTGAGTTCGTAAAATATTTTAACTCATAAATTGAATACCTAACACTTATTGTTATAATTGCTAGCGATTGCTACTTGCATTAGTACCTTCACAAGTTTATTCTTTTATCGGTGAACACTCATTATTTCGTAAAGATTTGACTTGATGAAATTATAAATAGAATGATTTAGATGCACCAATTACATAAAATAATATTACAAACATTTATCACCTTAACTATATGTCATGTATAATAAAATACCTAGGTAATACAAATGATACATTAGATAGAATCGTAAAGAATATGACCAACAATAATATGGTTTAGAGCATATTTGTATTTTCGTTGTTTTTCAGGAAACATTTTCAGGAAACTGTTGACAGTCATACCTATATAAAATTATAATCGAGAGCATAGTTTTTAAATAGTCTATGCACCACTGCTGCGGAAAAATAATAAAATTACCTATGCAAGAAGACGGTTTGCTAAGAAAACTATATTGTACGAAAATATTATGGGAAGCAAAACCGTTAAAACTATATACGGTGGCGATTGGATGCGTATATTAAAACTATATAATATTATTATGTAATTGTGTTCTATTTTTATAACAACAAAAATGATAACTGAAAATACAATATATTATGTATCATATAATCATATTTTATTTATAATCTCACGGCGGGCGTACATGTGGTGCCGTACGGAACTTACACGCACGTTAAGTTCAGTTCCTCCTTGGTTAGCAAATTGCATTTCTCTAAATTAGCAAATTCGATGCCCTCATTTGCGATGCACACGAAACACGCGTCGGTACAAACGCACGACCTCTTCGGGTCCAGGCAGCCATTTTTGCATTCGTCTTTGCTGTAGAACTGTTGGTTGCCATTTTCGGTATCACACGTGAAACAGAAATATCCGCCGTCGGATCTTAAAATGCACGGCCTGTTTGCATTTTTGTGGCATTTGTCAGCCAGACAACTGGCACGTAACGTAGACCATTCCGTTTATCGCCGATACGATGGGTGAGTACAAGAAGAAGAAATTCAACAGTACCATGAAAGCGAACATGGGCACGGTGGCGTACGACAGAAACATATTGTTGTTATTACTTATTATCTTCACCCATATAATACCGTGGTACGATATCTGTTATTTCTGAATCTGCTTCTCGGTGGATCGCTTGCAGTGGAGACTACAAATTATTCGGTGAATGTGTGTATGTATAATATTTATGTGTGCATGTATATTATAAACTACTGCAACGATAAGTATATATTATTATAGGTGCAGAGTGTACGGTAAACGATATTATAATGATGATAATAATGTTCGTTTATCGTTTATGCGTTAATATAACTGAATGACTGGCATTTCGATCGGTGTGCATATCGTTTTTATACCCAGCGAACGGCTGCCAGTTACGTAACCACATGGTCGTGGCGTCGTGTTATTGGTGGGGTCTAAAATATTGTAGGTTACGCGATAGGCGGTCGAATGATCACGACTAATTTACTACGCTATTTAACTTCCGTCATACAGAAAGTCCCGCATCGAACTAAACTGCAATATTATGGTTGTTTATGATCAAATATTTAATTAATCTGCTTGCCAGATTTCTGTTATAGTTTCTGGTTTTAGTTGTATCTATGGCTGCGATCTTTGTACATTTATACATCACGACAAGTACCTCATTTGTACCACATTTGAATACGACACATAATATTTTGTACAAAATATTAATTATAATAATTGAACAGTTCTTTAAGTCTTAGTAAAATAATGGCAAGGCATAAATTATTAAGTGGCAAAAACATTCGAATACGACGGTGCTCAAAGATTCTAAAAAAAATTAATAAAGCATAAAGTATATCACGTGATACAATAGTAGTAAGTAGTTTAACATTGATGAAATAATTTATAATACA